GCTGATGCGAAGTCCACCTCCATACCTCGAAGGTGAACGGCTGCACGACGATAGTGGGTAAGGCTTCCACATTGCATCATAACGGCAGGCCCGATCTTCATCAGAGTACAGCTTCTATGCTAGTCGGACACTCATTGACTTGCATGACTTGGCACATGCCCTAACAGGAGGTCACCCCGTGCCTTGCTACCATGTTAGGCTCCGGGCGAGGTAGTCCTCGAGCACCTGGGACTCGGACCTGCGAAGAGGCATCCGCGAGAGCTGCTAAGGGCACTTTTCAAGACCATTCGATAACAAAGTCCGCGCTGCTATGGCACTGCAACACGGCATGTCACGGGGGCACTTCACTGCCAGCTCCCCCACGATCTTGAAAGATTTGATGAAGGAGCTCAGCACCTGAAGAGCACTCATGAAGGATGCTGCTCTGGTCTGGTGGAGCCTGTGATAAGTATTTGCAATATGCAAGCACCGTGTCGTTGATCCAGGTCCTCGCTAGTGTCGGAACTGCCATTGACCAGTCTCGCGTTGTCAAGTTAGGCAGCACATGGATGCGTGCCGAGTGGAGCCCCTAGTCTGCCAGCATCATATCCGAGTCATCAAAACTCCAAACCCTGGCCTCCAAGTAGAATGCAGGCAGCACAGAATCCGGGACCCCGCACCGTTCGTGGAAATTTGAGAACAAACTTCTCGCAGCCTTCCTGCCAGTAGCAGCAGGCACCAGAAAACCAGGGCACGTGTATTGCAAATGCGTTCAATGCAGTGAGTCCGAAAAGATACGGCTTGCTTTGGATTCATGGTTGAGATGGTAATAACTCGAGCCGAGCCCCATGCACTGATAAAAGCAAAGCCTTTCTGTACAAACCCTTAGCCTCGACCTGCCAAAGCCGGTGGCAGCTCCTGCGGGTACGGCTCCGCTCCCGCCAAGTCCGTAAGCCAGTGGCAGAAGTAGAAAGCCACATCTGCTGGCTCAACACCTCGGCCGTCGGGCTGGCACTGGTGTGGAAGCAGGACGTCGAAGGAAGTGATCCACCCGGTTCGAGCATGTTCTAGCAGTGCAGATGCTCCACGTGGCAAGTCTTGGGGCAGGGACCGCCATCCTCCATGCACCTCAGAAATCGATGACATGACCGTCGAGTGACAGTGCTTTCCCGAGGTTCCGGCTCTTTAAACTTTGTGAACAACGCTCCAGGTGGAGCTTCGGCCTTTCCACAGAAGCGAGTGCGCCCATGCGTGCAACTGACAGGAACGGTTCAGCCATCAGAATCTCTCCGTTTTCTGCATCTTGCTTATCATGAGAGACTGCAGCGCCGCCGCGCAAAGACCAAGGCGCATTCGCGCACGCAGTGTGGTCCCACTATCTCATCGGCAACAGCTTCTGCAGGTCCGCACAATGATGTTCCGAATGAGCACACCGCCTTTTTGCATCTTGCGTTTTACTTACTTTTCCCGGAGATGCATGGCGGACCTGCAAGGTACGTTTGCGAAGGCCTACCACAGCTTTGGCCACCCTGTCAGCTGGGGCGCACGAATCTTCCGGTGTGTTGCAAGCAGGCACTTTGGAGCTAGCTGGGCAAAAACCATTATCTTCCCAGCTGCAGGTCCTACTGACAGGACAGCCATGCCACCCTCAGTACACCTTGAATGTTCCAGAGAGTCCCTCACGACGACGGCTTGAAGTGCACCTGGGCAACGAAGTCAAAGGGTGGTTTACTGACATACAGCTGCCACCTCAACTGGAAATGCTGTGCAAGAAACAGGGACATCCCAGATGAGCATGCCTACGAGCCTATGCCTCTTGAGTGCATTCCAGGGAACTGCATATTCCAGCCTCGGGCGAACTTTGCATTGCATCAAACTGATGACAACACAAATTGAGGTTGCTACCACATGCTACCGACAAATTCAGACCCCCGTTTTTCGGGATGTCCATCATTTCCATCCGCCACACCGGTATCAAAGCCAAGCAACTCACCTTTCTCGCCGTCCTTCAAGAGATCCCTTCGCGAGTGCCAGGCCTTTGTAGCGAAGCATGACATACTTGCCGTGCCTTTGGGCAGTCGCATCACCCCCTAGCTCGGCACTGCTACCCACTCAAACGTCTCTCCCGCTGCGATCTTTCTCGTGAAAGGCTCTGTTTGTAGTGTTCGTCATGAAGCTGGCTATGGTATTGCTTATTGCTTGACTGTCTGAAAAAGAACCAACACGTCAAACGGGTTGGGGGGTCTGAGATGTTTTCCGTGTCCTGATAGACGACACCTGATCATCGTTCCCTACGGCGATCCAACATCCCAAACTCGTTCCACGAAAGCCCAAGCAAACAAGATTCCAAGACTAACTCGACAAAGGCAGCATCAACAGTAACATAAGCAACCACCACTATGTAGGGCTCTGCTGAAAACGTGGATCGTGAAAATTTTATCTTGACCTCATAGTTTTGATTGTTGCTTCAGTGGCTGTCCTCCTTGCTTTCCTTGCCAGGCTGCTTCTGTTTCAATGAAGCGTGTGTGTCCATGTTTGGCGGAGCACATTCTGTATGAAACGGCACGCTTTTCGATTTCCTTCTGTTGGCACCAGACATCGTTGGTTCTATTGATCGGAAGATGAGATGTCTCTGACATGCAGCAGGGCAGCATTCGCTGGCAGTGACCGGAAGTCCAGGCTGGTGCGCCCTTCGCGGCCGACAAAAATCAGTCCCGAATTACAACTGCGAAATCGACGCGCGTGTACTTGCCACATTCAGCAGGGATGCCCAGGCTGTCATCCAGAAGAACGTTCCTGAAAAAGGACGTGCTGAGTTGACAGTTGGACAGGGCTGTTTTGCGGCTCAGGTTGCATCAAGCACAAGCTCATGCAGACAGTGCAAGACATGAGCGCCTAAAGATTGAACAACATGTAAGGGGAAAAAATCATGAATGGTACTAAAACATACGAATGTAGATACACATGCATGTGAACATGCATATGTATCTGTACATGTACATACACATGTACACATGTACACATGTATATGTATATGTATACGTGTATGTATATGCATATGTGTATGTATACATCTACATTTACATGTATATCTACATTAACACATACCGGCCAACCTACATGCCTACCTACCTTCAAGTACCTATCTGCCTACATTCCTACATCCATGCGTGCATGCCATACACCTACTAACATACATGCAGACGTACATGCACACATGCACACAAACATACATACACGCAGACAAGCTTGCAGGCAGACATACATATGTATGTACATACATCAATACATACGTACATATATACATGCAAGCATACGTAACATACATACAAACATACGTGCAAAAGTACGTGCATACAGAGCTGCAGTGTGCATTGGCTGTCACACAAATCCTGACATTGACACCCGTCGACACGTCCCCTCGGTTCGGCCTGCAACCTGACCCCACAGAAGCAACAACTGTCAGGCAGATCACGACTGGGTGCCAGCCACTGCTACTATGTTTGAGATCCGAAGCTGCCAGGTAATGCAAGACCTGTGAATGTCACGGGGACCATGACACCACCAACCCTGGCGGGCTGGCAACGACCCATTGGAACAGTTAAACCTCTGCGACGATCCCAGATGATCCCAGCCTCAGAAAACGGCGAAGGTCAAAAGAATCGCACACCCAACGGGATCGAGCCGCCCAGGATCGGCGATCGCGTGCGTGCGCGTGCGTCTGCGTGTGCATAGGCATGTGCATGCATGTACATGCACACTAACTTGCTCTTGTGGTCAGTACAAGTAATGCTGCCATTATACACAAAAAGAGTGGCATGTTAATTCATTCTTACAACTATGAATGCCAATAAATCAATAAGCTCTGAAAGATGTTTACAAGTCATTCTAGGCCCGAGCAAGTTCAGCAGAGCGTCGAGTTCTTTACTTCCAGCTCCAACAAGCTCTCTTTGTCCACCTGCCTGGCGACTCTCAATAACCGACCATGAGAATGGCTTTACAACAACAGTCATGCCCGAAAAGAGCGGACCCTTCACTCCAGCGTATGAAGTCTTGGTTTCACTGGCAAATGACGCTTGACTCTAAACCTGGCCGGAATACAGAGTGAACTTGTTGTCCACGTGCCATACAGGATTCAGGTCATTGTTGATGACCTGGGGGGGAGCATAGGAAGCTCTAGCATGCTAGCAGAAAGCTGGGATGCTCCTAGCGAGAAGCAGGAACACTGCCCTGAGCTCCAAGCCGGCGTTGTAAACTCCTTCATCTAATCGAAAAGCTGGCATGTCCGGACTGGAGACTCGTGGCAAACACTTGCCTGAAACCCCCAGCTGACCAAGGAAGTTGAATCGCTTGCCCGCTTGCAGGTCCTGTCGACCAAGCTTGACCACGACATATGGATCTGAGACCTTGGCATCCCAGCGTTTTGAGCATCTCAGCATCTGAGCACAATCATGCACAATCACACCAGGCTGCATCTCCCAAGATGCCGGTGTCCCGATTCATCAAATTGTGGCCCGCCTGTGCCATGTCGGGCCGAAACCCTACGTCTCTAAGGCTCGAAGGCTGCCGCGTTCATTGCTTAGTCCACCGACGTCAACAGCTCCTGGATGGAGACGAAGAGCGTCCCCGGCGTCTTCCGGGCCGGTGAAGTGGGCGAAGCCGGCTCCAACCCCGCCACGGACAGCGGCGAAGAAAAGCCGCCTCCGAAGCGACGAACGTCTGCCTTGAAGGCCTCCGCACTTCAAGCTAAGTCTTACTCGTTCTCCTGGTGGTGGCGGCAGCAGGGGTGGAGAGGCAGCAGCGACCTCAAAGCAGGTGAATGAGACCAATCGATGACATGCTTGGATGCTTGGACTATCGGAACGATACTAGGATCAAGTCTACCTTGGCAACCACGGCACCAGAAGGCAGAGGAAAGAGGTCAGATCAGATATGAGCGAATCCTATGGCCCTGTGTCATCAAGCACGAAGCCGGAAAATCTTCTGATCTTGTGGCTCCCCTCGGTCTGGCCTGCGCCTGCGTCCAGTCGGGCTTTGCCGCCGCATCGAAGTAGCGTCGGTGGAGCTCCTGAGGAGTGCACAGAGAGCTCCAGAGAGCTCTGAGGCTGCCCTAGCAAGAGTCTTCAATCGCTGCATGTCAATCGGAAGTCATGGTCATCATATAGATCATGGAAGGACTGTGACAATCGAGTGCGTGCTGCCAGTTGAACAGCCGTGTGGCAAAATCCAGATGTTGTAGTTTCTCCTCCACAGCAGGTGGCCGCCAGTTCTTTGGAAACAGCACTAAGTTGCGATCCCATGACCACCACTCAGAAACAAACTCACTCAGGCACTCCTTTGAGCATCTCCAGTCTAGCAAGACTCCAGCACAGCATAGCCGGCATCCCAAAAACCACAAACTCATGCAGGCCTGCGTCGCCTTGGTCTGATACTGCAGGGTCAGTTCCCCAGCTTCCTTTGAGATGTTGAACTTCCTGCCTCAAGCACCATCACTAACAGTCTCAAGATCCCTGGTTTCCTAGCAGTTAGGAGAAGGCCACGTGTCTGCGTCTATACTTGTCTCCGGATATCTTCATGCCCTCTTGTCGAACCACGAACTTCAGCCAAGGCACGCATGGCTGCCTGAAAGAGAGCGTCTAGCTTGGAGGGTACTGGGTGGGGCACACGGTATGGCATCTCATACGTAAACCTGCGCTGCTTACTCAGTCCAGTTGATTCATTGGCGGGTTAGGTAGCTAGCTAGTTAGTTGGAGTTCGTTCTCTCGCCCGCTCGCTCGCTCGCTGGGCGGTTGGGTGGTGGATTGGCTCGTTCGTTCGTTCGTTGGTGGGCTGGTTGTGGTTAGCTCTTTGGCTGGTTGGCTCGTTGGCTGGTTGGCTGTGTGGCTGGTCGGCTGGTTCTTTTAATTATTTCGCTAGTTAGTTCGCTCGTTCGTTACAAGTAGGTAGGTAGGTACGTAGGCAGGTAGGACATACAGACATATGTAGGTAAATGAGTGCATGCATGCAGAGGGACCTAGATAACTACCTAACTCCCTAACCACCTACCAGCCCACCGTCCTACCCACCTACCTACCTGCCTCTACCTACATCTACCTACATCTGTCTACCTAAACAAATGCATACTTGCACACGTCCATCCATCCATGCACCCATCCATCCATCCACCCCCCGTCCATCCGTCCATCCGTCCATCCGTCCGTCCGTCAGTCCGTCCATCCATGGAAGCCTATTCCCGTGCTGTCTATGCAAAAAGATCAAAAAGCCTGCAGTCCTTCCCTTTCCTTTCAACCCCCTCGGCTCAAGCCTCGCCTGCTGTAGTGCCAGAAGCTGCTCGTCGTGTCGTCGATCGACTTCCATCTCTTGCTTGAGAAGCTCCTGCCGAATCGGAGTTGCATTGAACGTTTGCTGCCCCGAAGCCTGTGGATCGCTATTCTGTTCTCTTCGATTACTTCTACCTTATTTTTGCGAGCAGTGTGAATTTTCTGCAATCACCACTGGAAACATTCCTGCGTTCATGAATGCAAATCGCAAATGCCTCTCTGTCTGTCTGAAATGTGCAGCTTTGGCACCTGGTCAATCGTCGCGCGTGCCTGCCTGGCATCTCACATGCGTGAGCTTGTGATGAAGCCTTGTGCAAAACCACGGCCACCCGACCTCTTGCACTGGTCGTTCTTTGCACGAAGGTACTCCAAGTTTGCCTGGCAGTCGTTGGATCTGCGACCGAAATCCTCTGAAGATGGACCGACAGTACCCAACCTGATGCCGCTGCGTCAACGTCGCCACACGCTGGCGAACCTGCTCCTCAAGGCAGCACACAGCGTTTCAGGGACCAGAGCGTCAAAGTTCTACACAGCAAGCTTGGTCCTGCAAGGCTTTGAGGTACTCCTGCTTCCTGGCAGTGTGTGGACGCTCGCAGCGGCTAGCCTGGCACTACCTGGCGCCCTAACCGAGCCTCGCATCCACGCGCTGCGGGTCGGGGAAGCCGTCCAAGAGGCTCGGAGGAGGCAATGGGGGCCGCTCCTCAAGAAGACTGCAGGGACCCTGCTTTGGTGAATCATGGAACCACGGTAACCAAACCCGGCATGCTCGGAGCCGGACATCCAGCAACTGGCCTGCGAACTGGACGTGAAAAGAAGATCCGGGCAAGGTGCTCAGGTGATCGTTCTGAGCTTCGAAGAACAGCTAGCTGTCTGCTTCCTCGCCTGACTTTGAGGCGGGCTGCACGCGCTGCGCATCGCTGGGGTGACCTTCATCGGGCATGACGGGGCACTCCCGGCGCTCTCAGAGCAGGGAAAGGCTCATTTCAATACAGCCTCACAACAAGCTCTGCACCTCCCAGTGCCAATGCTCGTGCGTCTGGCAGCGGCAATGGGGTCGGCGAAGGCACGAGCATGGCGGAGCCAAGTTGGACTCCAACCGATTCTGATGTTTACAGCTGAGTGGCTGGGGGAGACTGAGTTTGCTGCATCGAATAGGGCTAGCCAGGGCATGGGCACAGCAAACCACTGAATCGCATCACAGAGTCTTTGTCCGAGAAGATTTCTCAAGATGCGACCGGTGCAGCGCCTTCCTCACACCCTTTCCGAAGACTGCGGAGTCCAAGCAACGCAGGATGCTTCCATCGCTCTCTCCCCAGCCGCAGAGGCACAGCGCAAAGCGTTGCAATGCACACAGCATGCCCCGGATGCCCCAGATGCCTGAACCAGCCAGCCCATGTTGTACTCCATCTTGCATTGGGTGAAACGGATGGAGTCCTCAGAACCCAGCACGATTTTTCATGAGAACCAGATGGATCACAGTTCCGACAAGCTCCTGCTGTTTCTTCGACAGCTCGTGATAGGAGGGCAAGGCATATGAGTAATGGTCCAAGACATAGCCTGAGCTTGAGAGATCGGGCTAGGCATGTATGCACGCAATACACGACAAGTCTCTCTCAAGAGCCTCTGACTGTCTGAGCCTCGAGCTGAGCGCAATGTCGTGGTCATGAATCGTCTCACCCACCTGGCGCGAGCGGCTGGCCATGTCAGGACGGGCTGCGAAGTCTCAACGATGCTGGAAGTCGTTTGGCCGTGCTGACATGTCAGAGCGAAGGGCGAGACGGCAAATTCCTGAGAAGGCCTTGTAGCCGCGGTACGGCGCATGGTCCGGCGCCACCGTCGGCAACAACGGCACCTTCAAGGGCAAGAGTTTTTGCTTTTGACAATTGGCGCTAAAGGCTCGCAATGGTGTCTTCACAACCCGACCGATGAAACAAGCCCGTGCCGCACGGCCATCGAGTCGCAACCACAAGCAAAGCCGCAGATGCCGCCAACATGTCAGGAGCACGAGCTTCATGATGTCGTGGATGGCTGTCAACACCTTGGAAGAAACATGCAATGTCTTGAGCAAAGCCTGAAGCCGTCCCATGCGGACACATGTCGACACACTTTCGGGGTTGTTCCAAGGTCTGAGAGTCTGAAAGGCAAGTCTAGACGAGATTGCACTGCTGCATGAGCAGCCCACTAGCATTGCGAGGACGCGCTCCTCGTCATGACCTGAATCACCCGCACCAACCTACTCTCTTCATTCACCCGAGCGCTACCCGTTGAAGTGCGACGGATCAAGACATTTCTCCGCAAGGTCTGAGGCGCGATCCTTGCACACCATCGCACAAAAGACCTGCGTCGTGCCTCGGTTCTCGTGCCCATGGTGGCCACTCGTCAGATAAGATAGATCTGACGCCATCTCTGCCACACCACTCCCCTCTCAGCTGTGCATCCGCACAAGAGCTCGTCTATCCTCTCCCACTCGACCTGGACAAACATCTCAAAACACTCGCAAAGCGTGGAAAGCTTGCCATCATCTACTCTCCTCGTTTCAAAGCTGACGTGCCTCGTTGAAGAAAGTCTGCCTGCTGCTCAGGCACTACACGACATGTCTGTCGTGACACCAAATGTGATGCCTTTTCGCGATCTCCTCCTTCTTGCGTCGGGGTTGCTTGGACCGAGCATTCCTCGGAGCCCGTTGCAGTGCGCTCTGAAGTTTGATACGCACACTCAAAGCCCAACATAGCCCAACACAATCTCCAGTGTCCAGCCGCTTCCCCTCGACTTCAGAAGCTGTGTAACCGGCAGTGGCTCCCACTCATCATCCACTCCGAAGCAGAACCTTGGCCGCAGGCCATACAAGAACCAAAGGATGGCTGTTGCCGGAGTGAAGTAACTTTCGTTGTCCAGCACTCTGCGATCGCGTTAAAGCGCAAACTCCCTTTCAGAGGCACGCATCAATGGATGTTCGGGGTGCAGGGTCGGGCTTCGAAGCCATGGTCATGCTGCCGACTCCAACACAGTTTGGATTCTGGAGGTAGGGCTTGTCTTCCTGTCCTGTGGGAAGTGAGCATGCAGCAGGGAGTGTCCCTTGACCTTGCTGTGCATCCCGAGGACCCGACGACTCGGCACCACCCATCTTCCGCCGCATGAACCAGAAGACCGCAAAGAGTGCACCCATCTGAGCGCCGACTGGATGCTCTACATTGCATTGCACTGCATTGCTGTATGCTGCCTTCCATGACTGGAAACGCCTTTCCAAGGCTGGAGCCGTGCGCTGGTACTCCTCCATGGAACTTCGGCCACTGCTGACCAGGCCCCCGTCGTCTGCCTGGCCCCGAAAAGACGACTGCCCTTGGCACTGCTCGGGTCCATAAGCCCAACACCAAAAGAACCCTAGCTCCTGTTTCCCGGCTTAGAGCCGCACCCCATAGAGCAGCAGCTCGGGAAACGATGCTAAGCAGTCGTCGTAGAAGCCTGGGGTTTACGGATGTGACGTTTTACTCTTACAGCTCAAGGACTTCTTACGGCTCAGGGACTACTGGATCAGGGTTTCAAGTTCGAGGGTCCAGAGGTCAGGGATCAGTCAAGACGTGTGACATCAAGACTGCAACAACTCCCTTCTTGTCCAAGGCCCAGGCTCTTGAGGCTGTATGTTGGATCCAGCATCCTGGAGATTGTCGAGGTTGTGATCTTACCCGGTTGATATCTTATACTGTTGAATAACTCACACAACTCCATAGGGCAACACTATCGAGTATTCTTCTATACTGTTTCAATGCACAGCTATGACTGGCAACACTACTGTGTGTATCACTCGTCAGATACCATCATTGAGCAGATCTGGTGCTGGGTTGCTGGGTAATCGACCTCTTGGCAGCTCGCCGGGCTCGGGACCAGTTCGTGGTCCTCCGTCAGGTCCGGGCAGCCCAGGCAACACAGCACATTCCCGAGCTCTTACAAGCTCCTTCGCATCTGCATAAAACCTGCTCGCCGAACAGTGACCCTGCCTCCCCTTCATGAGCTCGGCGACAACAAGCCTCGGGGCTTCCCTCCTTCTTTTGCAAATATGACAAGTACCAGCTTGGCCGGGAAGCCTGTACTCGTCGCCGTCTTCGTCAGGGATTGTCACCCTTGGGTCGTGAGAGACATGAAGAGCATGCGCCATTATTTGAACGCATATTAGGCGTTGCCGCACGGACCCTCTGCAGCCGTCCTGCTAGGTAAGTAGATCCTGTACTTCCGATAAGTCCACTGGTGTGTCTTGTTGAACTCACTGAACAGAACTTCACGAACGAGGAAGACATGGTGGGAGAGCTTGCCGCACGCAGATCTGAGGCCGTGCACTCGAGGACCATGGGCCTAGGTCTCGAGGCATGGATGCGAATCAAGTTGCAGCCGAAGCACCATTCTCAGGATTCCGACAGATCCAATTGGCGTTTCGCCACGGGTGTGCAATCCTCCACACGCCACACGCTGTAGCATGCTCGCATCCGGCCGACAGCTGACCCATGCCTCCGTGTCAAGGTCTTTGTGCTGATCGTTGGTGAAACTTTTCCTGAGTTACAATTTTTGTGGATGTGCACATAGTGTACGGTATAACACGCCGAACAGATTCCTTCACACGCAGAGATGCACTTCGGAACTCTCGCATCCTCTCGTTCCTCCCCGAGGCCAGGGCTGGAAATACAACAGGTCACCGGTTTCAGTGAGCTGATTCCTCACGGAAGACTGTCATGCATGTAGAACGCCTGCAAGACATCGCATGCGGCGCCGGCTCCGTCCTAGGCTTCCAAAACCAGAGCGTCGACACAACGCCCTCTCGGCCAGTTTTCGAGGGTCGCAGACTTTGTCCTAAGCTGTATGCACAGAGCAGCAACTTCTGCTCGAGCGAAACCTATCACCTCAAGCCGTGTAAGCATGTCTGCTTCACACACGGACTGGAGCTCGGCTGATGGCTAACCCGAGTGACCGCAAAGTCGTTACCTGTCATTGTCAAGAAGTCCAGGGCTACAAGTAACCCGCGCAAAGAACAAGTTGGCCTTCTGGCAGCCCAATAAAAGACATCTCCGGGTTGTCCACATCCTCGGAGCAAGGCTGGAAACGCTGAACATCTGCTTTGAGAACGATGCAGCAGGATTTGGAAGCCAAGTCACTTTGACCCGGCATTTGACGGTATGGATATTGTACACGGTCTTGAGCCCAGGATATGACCTGGAATACTCCACCTGCAAGCTAGGGAGACAAGACTTCAGGGTTGCTGAGGCAGCACCAAGCACCCATGACAGCCGGCATCTCAGTGTTCATCCAGCCTCCTCATCCAACCGATATGAGGAATCCACGATGACCAGATGCGACTTTACAAAAGCCTGAGCAGCTTGCTACTCTCATGGCACTGCCGCAAACGCTTTTGACCCTACGGCAGCTCTGCAAGATCTGGAAGAGATTATGGCAGGGAGAGAAAGGATCGGGCTGTGTTGCTGTGTAAATTTCCTCCTCTGCCGGAGCCAAGGCGAGTGTTTGCGAAGCATGGACCACTCAGCGCCAAGCTTCATCCATGCCAAGCTTGCCTCGGCGAGAACTGGGCATCCCTGCTCTTCAAGCTCCCTCACAGCCTAGAATCCAGAAACTACCCAAAGCAACCCATTCCCAAACCCCTATCAGGGTGGGATCCGCAGAAGGCAGTTCTTGGGATGCTTGGGATCCTGGCCGTAAAGGCACGCCAGAGCCGCGGCCTTCCAGTCCTCCGGCGACGGCTGCAAAGGTTTTCACTGAGAGGGATTCTCGGGCCGGCTTAGCAACATCTAGGCTATTGCAGCGAATATACCTCCTGAGCAGTTCCACTCCTGTCTTCAAGGCCTCAAGGGCCTTCAAATTAACTAATCTGCGAGCTCTGCGATGCACTGCACTTGCTAAGTCCACTCTGGCTCTCCCCTTAAAAGGACGAGGTTTGGGTTGGGCGGTTTCGGTGTGGGGTCGGCTGTGAATCTAGGGAATGACTGCTGGATGCTGGGGATTTCGCTACGAGTAGTAGCAAGTTGGAGCAGCGACGTGTGAGGTTGACGTGGCATCATCCTGTTCGCAAGCCGTTGGGGCTCGGCAAACACCTTCTCTCTAGCACTGACTTTGAACAGCTCCGGAAGCAAGTCGGCAGATTTGACTGAATCAGGCTCGCAATTCCTGGTCGGACCGCATGCGCATCGTCACAGGACCTGTGCGGCGGCGAGGCCAGGGAGCACTAGACACCATGGGCCATGCGCGAGAACAAGCATCCATCCCAAGGAGCGCGCCTTCCTTGTGGTTGCGCTCTCGCTTTCCAAACTGCATCTTGCCTTTGGAGCGAAGGACCTCTGCACATTGCTCCAAGGAGGCATCAAAATCAATCTGCATCCTGTCTCTCAGCTGGCTGTGTGGCAGCGTGTTGGGGCAGAAGCATAATCCACACTGAGGATGGTCGCGCACAGCCAAACCTGCAGGGTGCTAGCCCGGGTGCAAGTGACCTCGACTGGACCTATACATGAACATGACGGCATCGAAGAAAGCACACTGTGGCGACAGGGGCTGAATGCAGTGTCTGACAACTAAGCTGGTTCTGCTCCGTCCCTTGCGCTCGCAACTCGGGCCTTGATGATCTGGATGTTGCGAACGAGGTGGCCAGCCTCAGCTGAGAACACGATGTCACAGCAAAGGACTCTTTTGCCAAGAAAGCCCACCCGGCCCAGCTCACCGGTATCCAACGCGAGGCTGCTGCTCGAATATTCAGCGTGGCATATCGCGACTGGCATCAAAAGGCAGCAGACTGTCAGAGATGTGTCCGTGGTTTCAACTCTTGCCCCGGCTTGTCATCGGCCTCATAGAGCTCGTCGCAAAGCTCAGCGGTCGCGCCAGGCGGATAATCGTTGGTGTCGATACCGTGCTCCTCACAGGCTACAGTGAACCACGCGACAGAAACGGAATACGTCATCAGGACACAAGTACATCACGACATGACCGTGATCAAGCCCAAACCATCCGGTACAAGGTCGAGAGGGACAAATGCGGATTGATTGATCGACTGCTTCTGGGTGCGAACATCCCTGCACGTGCAAGGCGACGAAGGCTGCTCCGTGCTCTACACACAGACAGCGCTCACACGATAAATGCGAAGGGTGCTTCAAGCAACTGACGCAGCAAAACGCGGAACTAACATACGGGCCATACATGAGGCCCCTCCCCCCCCCAAGCACCCCAACTCAGACTTGGCAAGGACCGCAAGGCTGGAAGCTCCCAGCACTCCCAGCCTGCAGCAGCCGCTCCAAAGCCTCTTCGTTGCTCAGCTCCTCGCCTCGCCGGCGCCTGGCGTGAGCCAAAAAGCCCAAGCGATCTCAAGAGATGTGATTACTGTCCGTAGCATCAAGCGAGCCCTGCGGGGCCAGGACCAGTTGGCCTTGGGAAGGTTCGCCTGCGCGAGGAACTCTTCAGCAGTTGCGCTCTGCGCGCTCAGTGTCTGAACATGTGCACGCAGGACGAAGTCGCTCGAAGCACTCAGGGGCAGGCCACAGGGATGGCTTCAGTATCGAAGCTAGTCATATCTGGCAGGCCGATAGCCTTGAATTGCTGTTAGTACAAGGATGCGACACGACACGATGAGACAGCGCCGCTTGGGCGCAGCTTCCGGGCTTCCCGGCTCGAAGCGAAGGTCGTGTGGGATCCGGTATGTGGATGCAAGTATCGTACGTCGTGTACCTTCGGTGCTGCAGACGCGATCATGAGAGAGGCATCTGAGAGTGCTCCGTAAGTGAATTCCTGAGTCGTGAGCATTGTCTCCACGCCGGGGAAAAACATCGACTTGATTCGCTCGACCTGCAGAAGGATGTTACTGGAGTTCGCGTGCATGGCAGTGCCAAAGCAGGAAACTGCGAGCGCGTTGCCTTGTCTGTGACCACGTTGTCCTGAGCCAACCTGGGGCGCACCGGCGACTGTGCAGGAGCAAGAGCTCACATGCACTCTAGACTCTGCACTGCGCCCGACTGCGTCCGGGGTTCCCACAGCTCCTGTCGAATCTCGGCAGGTAAGCCGAGCCGGGACGCAAAGAAGGCATCCTGAGAGAAGGCGAAGGGAACAGAAGAATGCGGTCGAGGCAGCGCTCGCAGCTCGGATCTGCTCGGGATCTGAGCCCCAAGCCACGGCCGACTTCCAGCCAGATCCTTCCTCCAACAGCGTCTGAAATCTGCTAGGCTGCTGGACATCTGCACATTTTCGGCGCGATGTGTGGACGTTGCCTCAATGAACGAGGAGGGCCTCTGGTTTCTCCTCGCAGGCTCGTGCTACCAGAGAGCACTAGTTGTCACAGCTTGTACGCATCCCTGTCCTGACCAGGGTGCTGTCCTCACAGGCTGGTCTTCGCAGGCTGAAGGTCGAGAGAACCAGATTTTACCGAGGTCCTTCAGAACCTCGCAGTTCAGCCTCAACTCCATGTCGTGCCCGTCTTGGCCTTGCAAACAAACTCAACAGCTCACTGGTTTTGACTAAAGCTGCGGCTCTTCGGGACTCCAGCCAGTGACAGTAAGGCTGATGTTGACCTCAGAGAACACACCCGATACAAAATTGACTTGGCTGTTCATGTCAGCACCCCACCCTCGACGGGGCTCAAGGCTGCCATAGAGCTTAGGGCATCACCAGCTCCATCCGTCTCTCCAAAGAGTCGTTCTTCTTGACGAAGTACGACTTCTTCTCAACCTGAATACCAGCAGCAGGAGCGAAGCTTCACGGACATAACACCGCGCCTCTACATTGCGGTACAGCTCGTCCAGGGTTTTAGCCTGCTCAAAGACCGCACTTTGCGACTCTTCGAAAACTGTGACGAGGCGGCCTGGCCTGGCCCTTGCCAAACTTGGAGATGTCCTCGGGACAGCTGAACATCTTGGCTTCATCTCTTTAAGTGCCGTGCTCAGCGCCACCAGAAGTTGTGTAACGCCGCCCGGCACTGCCCTACCCGGAGCTGGGCTGGTGAGAAAACCCTTGGCTCAGCTCCCGCGTTTCTTCTCGCGGTATGCGCAGGGTAAACCGGTACATCAAACCGATTTCACTGACAGGAGTGAGACGATGTTAAAGGTGCAAGTGCAAATATAAACAGGACGGGATACCAAGATGCAGAGGCAAAACAACTGGCACAGGCAGAATTCAACATGAGAGGACATGCTGGACACCGAAACCTCATGAAACCTTCGCTCAGCAGGCGTTAGGACCGAATTGGCTGGGTGTCAAACGATACCGTGATCGACCAGCATTTGCCTGCAAGGACGCAGGCGTCAACCCAGCCATAGCTATAATTTCTCCAGAGACTTTGCGGGCCTGAACTCCGCGGTGCAATGCTTCCCACCACTTGTCGGTGACAAAGACTGCAACAAGGCTAGCGAGGCGAACCCCCGTCAGCAAAGAGCTTCGCCCTTTTGGTCTGGCCTCGTAGCCCGCAGAAGGCGGAGCCTCTTCTGGGAGTTCCGCAGAAGGCTCCAAATAGTAGCAGTCATTCCTGGAACACCACGGAGGAGCGAGAGCCAAGAGCCAAGCGGCCCGGGCGGCTCGGGCGGCCCGGGCGGCCCGGGCCAGAGCACTTCTAAGCCTCCGGCACTCTTGAGCAAGTAAACGGTAAGCGCTCCAAGACATTCAGCTTGTCCTGCGGCGGAGTAGGACCCTTACCGAGGCCGAGCGAGAGCTTGACAAAACATCTGATCGATCTCCCGCCTTCGTCGACTTCAGGATCTGGACGCCTCAGCTCGGCTCTGCTAGGGTCCTTGCTGAGTGCGACGACGTAGGCTCGCGGCAAGAGTCCTGTGGAGCCAAATCCGCTAAACGCTTCGCCTCCGAGACGGCCTGCTTTCACCAAACATCATATGCTTCACACCACAACAAAACATCTGAATTCTGAAGCCATGTTGATGGCTGCCCGGAAAGTACAACTGCGGGGCCGAATTGCGAAATCTGAAGTTGAAGCGAGACTCGCACTGGGCCGAAGTAGTTTTTGGATATCGAGGAGACATGTTGGGCTCAATGACTTTGAAGAGTCCACACAGTAACTTGGACTCGTTTTCAGCAGCCCACAGAGCAGCCTCACCGTAGACGGCCTGTCCGGCACGGGAAGCTCTGTCTTGGGAATCAGCTTCATGGCGCTTACTTTGCAATGCTGCAGACCTCTCCGCCGCTTCGGAGAACTAGCTTCCGGACAATGCCACTGTGCACACCTGCACACAGAACCCGTCCCAACTCTCTGCACAACGCATCGATGCCGCGAGGCTCCGGCCGATGTGCAGCGCGTAGGGTGGCTCCTGACTGATGGCCCAACCTTGCAATTCAAGCTTCTTGGGTGGTCGGGACTCCCTGACTCCAGCTGCAAGTACAACGGCAGCAAGTGCAGAAGGCGCGGCGGCATATCAGCTGCCCCAATCGGACGATGATATCCTCGCAGGGCGTTGCAAGCACGTGGCTTTTCACGACGCAGTCGACTCGATTCCATGGCGACAGCTGGAAGCCCGATTCAGTAAAGGGCTCCTCGAGAGACATGTGCCCCCTGTCGAAGTGCTCCTCCACAAAACGACACCCGCGTTTGAAGCTCTGGAGACCCGCGTCTGCACGGAGGGCTCAGTCCTCCTTTGCTATCGAGGCACTGCACACAAGAAGCCCATGGGTTGCCTGAGTCCGACTTTGGCAGTAGTGGTGGTGCTGGTGGTGGTGCTGGTGGTGGTGCTGATGGTGGTGCTGGTGGTGGTGCTGATGGTGCTGGTGGTGGGGATGGTAAGGCAGCCGTGCTTTGTAGTGATGGCGGGGCGGTGGCGGCGGGCGGGGCCTTTGGCGGCATTGAATCATTCACATTCACGCAAGCAGTACCGACCTTGCCAATGCTATATCACTCATGCCACGACGAGGGATTGTAGGGATGCAGGGAATGTCATCAACATCACTTGTACTCCTACCATCACTAGCCTTCATGTCGCGACAATGGCAAACCAGGAAGACTACTATAAGCGTTGATTCTGCTCCCGTAGCTGCACGTGCAATCGTAGGGTTGATGCCATCGGAATTCGAAGAAGCTTCTACGACTCATGCTTGTGCACAGTCACGGACACCAAGCTGACACCGAGCTCAGGCCAAACCTTGGGGCGCGACGGCTGCTTCCACCTCCGATGCAGAGCTCCAAGGCATTTTTCGCCACTCTGGGCTCCCTTGCACTTCCCTGTCCCCTCACGTATACAGTTCCCCTGTCGCGCCATCCGCGCGGCCACCAGTTTGGCACAGTCCAGGATGCCGTCGTGGAGCGCCAAGAGGCGCTCGGCCTGGCCACGTGAACTCACGGCCCGACTCTACTTCCCTGCTTCAAGGCAATTTTGCCCTCTGCCTTGAGCAGCTTCGCATCGTCCACGAGACTCCAGTACTTGGTGCGAGCAGAACTTTCAAGATAAGATTCCGGGCTCGGACTGCCTACTCGCCAGATGCCCGTCTCAGATTCTGGCCAAGCAGGAGCACTCTTCGCCGTCCTCAGGGTCCGGAACATGTCAGGAATGGCTGCAGGGGATGCACTTGTTACTTGTAGCAACCAAGGCAGTCACCGCTTCCAGCTGAACCTCCTCCTCATACATGACTGGGCAATGGGAGGTCAGCGGCCTGCCGCCAACAGCGGAGACGTTGTCCTACCGACAAGACTCATAAGACCTTCTCAATGCCAAGTCCCGGTCCCACGCGCAGTCTTGCACTGGCATCGGACGGCGTCATTGGCCTGGCAGTCTTCTTGGAATCACAGCGAAACGCCGCACGTCTTTGCAGTGCCACCTCCGCCCGATCACCTCGGCGCATGAAAAAAGATCGATGATGATCTATGCAGAGAACTTTCACCAGCGGGAAGTCCCCCACGTACTGCGAGCTGCGCTTGCAGTCGAGTTGCAATCGCCCCTGGAGAGGCAATGCACTCCACCCATTCACCATGGCTCTCAGCTAATCGTTCTGGCAAACTCAACGTCTGCCATCGGTAAGCCAATCCAGGAGCAGACGAAACGGAACGCCTTCTCTGCTGCACCGTGCGATGGTCACCATGAGTGGCATAGAGTAGAAGCCGCATGTCTTTTGCCGGTGCAACAGACATGTCCTACGACGGGTGGAGCCACCGGGTGACACTTTGAACAGCCAGAGGCTGGATGGACGGCACCTTGAAGTTAGCTCCTAGGGCTGTGGCACAGCAACCCTACCAGCAACGTTTGGGGACGGACGGTGATGTGCTGGTTTCTGACGTGCCGGAGCAAAGAATCCTGCATGTGATTCGAAACGGGGTGACACATCTGTTCCATGCGGAACGGAGCTGAACACAACATGTCAGTGGTGCCCGAGCTGCGGCGTTCTGACTTCGCTTCCAGGGTTTTGCAATGTTTCGCAAGCGGGGCAGGCACTCAGCATTGACTCGGTTGGTGTCCGGCTCTCGAAACTAACGTGATTGGGCTGGAGGCACTCTGGCACGAAATTGCAAAGACAAGTTGGTGTTAGACAGAAGCCCATGTCGACATCGGAGATGCCTCCAGCCTCTCTAGGGCTCAGTTCAGTTCACTTCTTCCATCTCCCAGAGCAGGCTGCCTGCAACAACAGACACTGCCAAGCCGTCCGTCCAGCGCCAGATTCAGATCCCGCCTGCAGCGCACTTCAGCATACCACCTCAGGCAATGCGTAGAGATCGGACTGCATTCCCCCAGGCCCCGAAAAGCTCAGTCGCCAACTCTTCGAGCGGCTTCTCCGAGGAGCGCCAGTTTTTCAGGGCACCTCGGATCCAGAAACACCCCGTCGTGAGCGCTTTATTGAAGCCACCTTCTCCCACTCCCACTTCAGCCGAAGAGCTCCAAGTCTGCGTGGCCATTCGCTTCTGTTCTTCCGTCCGCATGGATTTAAAGGCCTCGCTCAGGAAAGCCCCAATCTCTCGGAAGCTAGCTGAAATCTGCTCAGACGACAGTCCGTTGTGGGCCGCTCCTAAACAAAAACATGAATGGGCTTGGAGTTCGGAGATGTTGTTTGCATGGCAATCCATGTGTGCATCGCTTGTCACGATACCCGAAGTTCGCGATGCCAGAGTCGAATCCCTCCTCAATCTCCTACCTTGCACTGCTGCACATCCCCTCCTGCCTCTCGCACTGCCCAGTTCTTGCGGCTGTAGGGATCAATGTCCTATCCGAAGCTGCAGCGCGTCAGAGTTCAGACATCCAGTGATCGGCGACCCATGCTCTAATGATGCACACGTGCTTGAAGACTAAGCTGTAGTCCCACAAGCAGGAAGAAGCAGTGGTTAGTACGTTTGGGCATCGGCACCTGACAGCCCTGGCTGTGCCTTGCAGTACCGCGTCACGTCGCTAACAGACGCAACACCTAAAAGCAGCTGATTTGCAGTCAGATCAGCTGGGACTGACTGAATTGAATGGCCGAGAGCAAGATGGGCTCCCCACCACGAAGACGAATTCGCCCGTCCGACGCAACCACCTGCAAGGCTTCCTACAACGGCTTCCTGCGGCGCAGGCGCGCGCCCGCAAGTAGCTGGTGCTGCGACTGTCCGTCATCCAGCTGGAGCTGCATCATGAAAGATCTGCAGCTCTGCACGTGCCTTGGCTACCTCGTCCTTGCGCCTTCGGAGAATGACAGGCGAAGCACCGTAGCCGCCTCAGCGACAGAGCCACGCCACCAATCGTCAAGAAGGCACCATGCTCTCTGTTCGCAACCCCGAAAGACCCGACAGGTGCCCAGCGAACCCGTCGCTCGTGTCGAGCACGGATGCTTTCCCTGTCATGGGATCAAACATTCGTGAGACCTTGTCGATTCCCAGAGACCAGATGAGGCCATGCCGACGAGGCCCTAGGTTTTGGAAACAAGGTTTCGACCCTGCTGTGAAAACGCTCCCGAGCAGAGATGGCCGAGGGCCTCTCGTCCGACTGGCGCGGCCCCGGCCTAGCCTTCGAAGGACTTCGAAGGCATGGATTGCAGAAACATCGGTGTCTAGGTCTAGGTTTCGCGTGCAGCCTAAGGAGGGGGAGGGCTTGGCGCTTGCTGTGAGGCGTAGAAAGCACGGTGAGGGCTTCGAATTCTTCAATGTTGCTGCAGCATCGTCTCTGTAATCAGAAAGACTGTGGACAATGTCAGCAGATCCCTGTCCTGGACCTCGCGCGCGGGAAAACGCCTGACATCTTGGACATTCTCTGACAGGACTTCATCGCAGAGTGTTGGCTTGATTGGGATCGTCGCCTGATCCGAGGAGAACGTACATTTACAAAGTACAATAAACAAAGCCCGAACCGAATGACCGTGTGGGCACGAACTTCAGCGCTTCAGTGCCTCACAGTTTGCACCACACCGCTGTTGAGCTTGTCTGTTACGGATTGTCTCTGCCAGTGTTGAGCACAACAAGCTGGATCCGCCGCTGGCTTTCATGCCACCAATTGTGGGGCGTGGATCTACGGGATCTGTACAACGGGACCCACTGCCTGCACAGATGCAAACTTTAAGCAGATCAGACTATCGACAGGCCGAAACAGCCAGCACCTCACATCAACAGCAGTTGAAGTGGGCCCGTGCTTGCCCCACACGATCCAGCAGACACAAGCTCTGCGATGCTCCCTGGTCGTGCGGGCTCTGCAGCTATGGAAAACAGATCGGCAAAGACGGTAGGTCGGACATCTGATACGCGAATTGTCTGAACCCTTTTGAACAGATGAGTGCGACAAGTGCGTGCTCGTCATGCCAATTCTCCCGCTACGTGGCTGCGTGCAGCACAGGTAGACAGGCAGCATCATATGAACCAGTCGAGACTACCCCTTGTGTACCACCTTCATGACATTGGATACTATGCTTATCACTTCCACTCGCCGCTTCCGGCCCCACCTGGGCGAGTGTTTGGGGCGCTTCGGCCAAACCAGCAAATCCGAATTCGGCAAAAGGGGCTTCACTGCCCTGAGGTTGAACGAAGATTTCTGTGAAGCAGTAATACACTTCTCGAGAGTCGCTCAAGCGAAGAAGCCCTACGGATTCAGAAGCCTAAGGCTTTGCTGAGGCATCACGGGAGGCAGCGTTCTGTGTCTCCCAATTGCAGAAGGCTTAGCACTCGTGTGGCCTTTCAGGCACCTCCTCGTGCAGCGCTTGTCTCACAACCCAACTCCTTGAGCACCTCAGTCAGGCGATCGCTGAAGCCGGTTTTGCTCCTGGTGGCAATCACAACCACAGCAGGAGAGAACCTGCTCGTTGCGAGACAGCAAAACCTCACACGACCCAGCAGGTGGAACCAACAACAGTAGGCCGATTAAGTGCGGCACAGCGGTGTTGCGGCTCGCTTTGGCAATGTCTACCGCAGTCCTTCCGTGGGAGTCCTGCCGGCACACTGCACTGAATCCAACACCCAAGAGACTTCCGATACGGCCACACGATACTATACCATACTACATTATCCTATACAAGAGTATACTGTACTAGGTATAAGAAACTACCATACTATACAATATTGAACTATATTGTGCTATACAACACCTCGCGTTGCTATAGTGTGCTAAACTATGAAAACATGAAAAGAATATCATATACTGTAACCTGTCCTTCTGTTCCAGGGAAGCTCCGGCTTCCAGCAGGTATGCCACCATCCTCCCAAGCCATCATTCCCCAAGAACAGACATCCCCTAAAACCTGCGTTGCAGCGCGTGTGGCACAAACAAAAGACCGAACATACTAAAGCCCGAGACCTGCAAACCCTAAACAACTGCCACTAGCCTGGCATCCCCGAGCTTGCACGCTTTGTGGAGCGGATAAGTCGTTCCGGACAGCAGGGACCTGGGCTTCGGTGCTCGGAAGTGCGAGGATAACATAAGAACACAAACTGCAACACATCACACCACAGGTAGATAACCACAACACACGCTAATGGAATACAATGTAGTATCATGTGTTAAAACATCGTGTAACTTCAGAGAACAGAACAGAACATAGTTATGGCAAAGCAATAGACAATGAAATATAGCGTTTAAAGGTACAACTCTTTATATAATGTACCAACATGATATGATATCATATCGTAGAGTACAGAATATTGGACTACAATGTAACTCGATAAAAATACCATGTAACCTAAAATTATATGAAATGGTAGCTTAGCAAAACATGATATGATACGGTATGATATAGCATGATGGTATATTGTAATGTAACGTAGCATAACAATCACAACAATACAGAACAGAACACTCTGCAAGAAACATGAAATATGATAATGCAACACAGCAGAATAGAACACAATGTAATGCCGCATGACGCGATATGACAGAATGTGGTATCACGTCCAAAAATCTAGAGGAACAGAACAGATGAGTATGTTTCCTTGTGTTGTCTAGTATTTTGTATTCAGTCAGTACATTATATTGCAGCAAATGAGGCCATACCATTAGATGAAAACTACTATAAAACACTATACTACACGGCACTGCACTACAATACAATACACTAAACTCTACACTCTACACTCTACGCACTGCACGAGAGTGCACCACACCGCAGTACACGACACCACACGATCCTAGAATACCCTACAGTGCACTATACTATACTAACCTGTACTATATTACGTCATTAGGTCACTGTGTACGTGCACGGGCCTTGTTTACCTCCTCGTACGTGTATGCAGGTATGGACGATGCATGTATGTACATGTGCATGTAGGTCTGTATGAGCCAGTAAGCATGTATGTCAGCCACGTCCACGATCGTCCACGTCGACGCATGTGTGGCAGTAGCTCTGTATGTTCGTGCATGCGCATGGGACACATGTGTACACCAATGACTCTGCATGTGTGCCGTATGCATGTACATGGACCTATGCATGGACGGTCTCTCTACCCAGTGTCACGCCACGTGCTCCCAGTACAACAGCTTTGGTCGATGTGCCACCGCTTGCGACGTAGATGCACAAGGCGCCAGCAGAAGCTGACATCAATTCCACAAACCCTTGAACCTCGAAGTTCGTAGAAGTAGACACAGTCACAGGAGCTCCGTAACTTGGCCGAGCGACTTCTTGGCCAGTCCAACATCTTTGAAGCCGTGCTTCTTCAGGAAGCTGGCAACCTTTGGGGCGAATACGACGGATCAGATGCGAAGCCTGGCTCTTCTGAAACAGCGCTAGATTTCAGGTAACTGCCCATGTTGGGGTCCTCGCAACGAGGTACAAGGAAGGGAATGCGCTTGAAGGAACACCGAATATACACAAAAACCAGTCTTGACAAATCCTGTGTCGAGTCTGGTAGCCGAGTCTTTTCGCTCTTTGTCACGCTCGTCTTGCACTGCCTGGCGGCAGTCAAGAGTTGCGAGAACAGAAATTTCCTGGACAGCCACTGAAAGTGCAGACACTACCAACACAAGCGCCAACGCTTTCGTCTTGCGGCCCGCGACATCCTTGCGCCCTCAACAGCAGCCCCACACACGAGAACCCAGCGGGTCAAACCCACAAGAAAGAAAGCAGAGGCAGACAGCTGATCTTCGAGACAACGATGACACGGGCGTTCGCACTATTGTCAAATTCCTTTTGCCAAACGGTGACACCGGATAACACCGGCCGCTGCCTGCTCCAGCTGTGCCTCTGCGGCCTCTACGGCCTCGGCTGGGACATTCCAAGAGGCTCCGGGATCTCGAGACGAGGCGGTCCCAGAGCTCGGAGTCCAGCTTCTCGGAATGTCAGTAACGCCGCGACCCAGATTACGCAACTTAGTAACCTGTAGAAGCGGCTTCCCGCGGGAGGACTTGGAGGTCTCTTCGGAATGGTCTTGGGAATGGGAAACCCAAGTGTCAACCCTGAACTAGGATTTCCAAAGCTAAGGCGGGCAAAGACACCTCTTCAGATTGCGGAAGGGTATCCGGCACTTGGACCTGCCAGGCCAGGCACGCTTCTCCCGGAATGGCTTCCGCATTCGAGTCAGCGCAATGGCCTGTTCGGCCTGGATAGACTCCATCACAGCTGCTTCCTGCCGCTCTGGTCATGCTTTTTGAGGCACCACTTCCGACAGTGCAGCTCTTACAAACTCTGCAGGCCTCCTTTGTCATGAATAGCTCCTGTGCCTGCAACGGCGGCACGGTGAAACCACTTCGCTGCACACTACAGGTGACGGGCCTTGACCCTAAAACCGAACCACGGAAAAATAACTCATGCGGCATCCTTATCGCCACACCTTACCCTCTAACTCTCAAACAATCCCAAACTTAAGCCACCCACCATGCCAAAGTCCCCACAGAATTGCACCGCGCACTTATTCCATACCCTTGGCCAAGCACCGGTGCCGCCACGCCCCGCCGGTGGCATCATGATCATCATCACTGTCAGCATCATCATCATCATCGTCATCATCATCATTATCATCGTCATCATCCACCAACATTCACATGCCTGCCGTCCTGCTCAACGAGCCTACCAGAACTTGCCGATAACAGCAAAACTGGCAAGGCATGAAAACTTGAAGAGGTGAAGCATTGTTCTTGCTGTAGCAAGTGGATTCCTTTCAATATTCAACCATGCAAACAGTCTCTTCGGGAACAACGGCTAGACCCACCTTGCTGGACAAGACTAAGCAGAGCGACCGCTCATTCAAGTCGCAACAGGTGGTGGTTGATATCCAGTCTTCATTCCGGAAAGGCCACGATAGGACAAGTATGAAGTTGACTCCTTGCTCGAGCAGTCGGGAACGTCGCGATCAA